TTGGGGGGGGGGGAGGTAGGATCTGGCTTCAAATATGCACCAGGTCATCTCTGAAGAGGTAAGAGTTCAGTTATCCTGTTTGTGGCCACAAAATTAAAATCTTACATGTTCTTCACAAATTAAAGCGACATTTCTCTCATTTGCAAATCTGCAACACATCTTCTCTACCAGAACTTAAGATTTAATTTAGAAAAACAATCTTCTATTACACAACTATTATTTTAAATTGAAAATTCAGCTTTAGAATAAGCAACATAAAACACTATTTTTTCTAACATTCCTATTCTTTGAATCCATTTCTAGACAAACCACACACTTCCATAAAGAATACTTAACATGCAAATTATCTGCCATGAAGGTGTGATTTTGAAACCATTTTATTTCATTCAACAAGATATATGAAATTATAACATGTGTCATCCATGCAGCGGAAGCATAGGGTTGCACCCAATGCTGCTATTCTACACTCACAAGAGAACTCCCCCCTCCTCTCACTTGCACCCTCTTCATAAATGGAATACATGACCATCTATGATTCTGCGATTTGTCCTCCTCACCCCGCTTCCACCCTAAGGTCCCAGGGTGGGTTACAACAATTAAAGCACAATCTGCTTTATTATATGCAGGGCTTGATGTAACCAAGTTAGTGGGCTGAATCAGTGCACAGGTGTACACTTCTCTCTCTCCACCTATGTTAAATAGCTCCTGGTGTTTCAATATCTGAAGCAGAGGGGCAAGAGCTGTAACTAGTCTACCTACACCTTTTATGTAAGATTCAGGAATATTTTTTTAACAATATTTTTAAATCACAGCACTACATACAAGCTGGTATTTGCATCTAAAACCAAGAACATATAGTCCTCTAACACTAAAAAAGGAAGTGGATATAAGAGATGGGTGCAATATGGAGCAAAGGTATGACTGTCCATTCTTAATCTCTGTTTACATCAGGGGTCAGCAAAGTTTTTCAGCAGGGGGCCGGTCCACTGTCCCTCAGACCTTGTGGAGGGCCGGACTATATTTTGGGGGGGGGGGGAATGAACGGAATTCCTACGCCCCACAAATAACACAGGCCTTAGTTTGCCTACCCATGGTTTACATGGCCAGCTCAGAACCAGATGACCATTTTAACTCAAGTTCTGGTGCTTGTGACAGCCAGGACAAAAGACTAGGGCTGGAGAGTTCTCATAGTTCACTGTGCCAGTTCCAGAATGGTGTAGCTCAGGGCCCCCAAATCAGGCCCCTTGGGGATCTGTCAGACTTTGGATCCCACAAAAGCAAAGCTTCCACCACCACAGGTCTACCTCAAAACACCTGATTTCAAGACTTGCCATTGGTTACTGAAAGCACCTTTCTTGCCACTTGGGCAACCTCCATACACCACCTGCAGTGTTCTCTTTGCCAGTGGAGGCCAGCACTTAACACTATGCAACAAAATGGTTGCAGTAAATGGCATCAGGTAGCTCTTGTGAGACCATGAAAAAAGAAATGATTTATTCATCTGCTAAGGAATAAATCTCTCTGATCAATCCCATTTACGGTTCAAAAATGTATGTTACAAAAATGAGCTCCTCAGCTGAAACATGCCAAAGAACGATACCAATAAAACATCACATGATACATTGTTGTGGGCTAGAACCTGCTTTGTCAGTGTATGTCACAATAAATGTATTAACCACAATCTAGAGAAAGTTAGTCACATGAAATCGTGCAGAAATCAAGATGACAAATTAATCAGTCATTACTAGGTCTCACTGATTTCAACATGAATACATTATACTATCTGTCTCTGGATCAGAGATTTTGTTGAGTGGTACCTTAAACAATCTGTTGTAGTAGGAAAAATATGAGTAAAACAGCTACCCTCCTCTGACATTTTGGTAATACTTTTGTATATGCTTTTTCTTCAGCATCAACATATTATGTGAGCATATGCTGATATGATATCTAACTGAAGTTTATGCCAAATCTCAAATGTGCAGCGTATTTAAGCCAAATTGCTATCTCTATGGAATAACACAATTTCACGCACATTACTTTATTAAAATCTATACTCACCTACCTAGTCGATGGATTAAACATAACAGGTCCATTAAGGGAGAAGTATTTTCTTTCATGTTACAGATAATTTGGGGCGTATTGGGTAAGGAGCAGAATCTAAGAATGCTTTACATCTTCAGGAATATTGTATTCTATTACTTAAGCCTGAACCATCACTTACATAAGATTTTGCACAGAAGATACTACTATACCTCCTTTTTGAAATCTACAGGTCAAATCACACTAAGGCTGTTTTTATTTCTGGGTGCTTCAGAAGTTTCCTCTCCAGCATTTGTACATCCCTGTGGGACTAACATGCACCATTACTTGCTACGGTTCTCAGGATATCATTCAGAGGCATCTTGACAATGAAATATTAAACCTACTATCCAGGTTTTTCAGCCTGCAGTACATTCAAAGTATCAAATTTAATCTAGACAACAAGTCTCTTCTATAACCAATCCAAGATAGATCACTAGTCTACTATGCAACTAGCCTGGCCTTTCTAGATTATGTCTGCGCCAGCAATACTAAAATTTGTCTACAAAAGATACAGATTGCATCTAGACATAACAAACTATTATTTATCTATTACATGAACAAGTCCTGGGTTTGTGCACATGATACCCCTGCCCCTGTATCCTCCAGCAGTTGTGAGACGATTGGAAGCCTAGCATTATGCCCAAACCCTAAACTGTGGTTTATTTTATTATGATTTAATTAAGACATCTTAATAAATTATGGTTTGAACTTAACTTGTTTCAACAAACCATACAGTTTGTCTGGGTTTGGACACTACATTAACTTTTGGTTAGTTAAAAATGAAGCAAAAGCTTCTAATTGTATCCTCACAGCCATTATGGTGGAGAAGGGAGGCAAGAGCTGATGGGCCCAATAAATGATAGTCCACATGCAGGCACTACGAGGATGTCATCACAAAAATCACTGATAACTCATCACTGAATAATCTAAATATCACTTTTCAATCCTCATACTTCTCAACCTTTGTCTCTGGTATGGTTGATCACTCTCTCTTACTAACTTACTAAACAGGTTTAACTTAGTCATGATCATTCATCTCAATGGGTCTGCTCTGGGTAAAACTTAGTTGAATACCACACAAGGAGGATATTTGTTCATTCCAACTAAATTATGTCTTTCACATGCAACAACCTCAACTTCCTCTCTGATGGCTAGATGCTCATTACACCAAGCACAACCCATGACTTCTGTCTAGCAGGTAAACCATTTTGTGTGGAACATTCTGTACAATACACTGAATAGCCCCCACACCGATGGCTTTCTATTTGAAACCAATTATTATTTATTGAGCTTCTTTACTATGGAATTTAGGATCTGTTAGGACGAGTGTAGTCTGCCTAAGCTTCACCCTGCTGGCTAACTCACATTATATTGTCACTTTGTTATCTAGGGCTTCCCTCTTGCTTGTAAAGTGAGCTCCCTCCAAGCTCCCTTGCTAAAGTTATAGTCCTGGCTAGCTTCTCCCAGCTGTCACAACTCTAGCCAATCAAATCAGGAGGTTCTCCTTTGAAAAACAGAGAGTTGTGGCTCAACTACTGGGCTAAAAGAAATTCCAATGAACAAAAATTTGAAATGGGAGATTCAGGTCAATTTAGCCACCTTATAATGGTACAATATGTCACAGGAATAGAAAATAGGTAACGATTTCATCAAATTTAAGATGAGGATATAGGCAGTTGAAGACCCCCTTGGAATGCAAGAGTCTGATTGATTGAAGTATATAAGTGAGTACAAAAGATTGATAAAAATTAAATTACAGCTTTTCTTTACATTTTAAGGTCACAAAAGTTGCAAAAGAACTATTAGTAGGCTCCAAAAGGGTAACTAGTACAAGCGCTTTAAAACTTTCCTATGGGATATTTCACAGCACCTTTGAATAGAAAGGTTCCTGTGCCAGATCATAAACTGCTTTTGATAATCCCCTCATATTCAAAATCTGTTTAGAAGTAGATGGTGGAGAAGCACACTACGTTTTGTAAACGATAGTCCCCAAGTCTACAACTACACTCTAATGCAGGTGCTTCCATTGTGATACCCACAGGTACACAGGGATCCATAGAGATCTTCCCTGGTAACTGCAGGGTTCCCTCTGCCCAGATGAAATTAGGCTTGAAATAATAATTCTATTGTACCAATAAGAATAATAGATTGTTTTGTGTGTGGTGCCATGACAATTCCTCTAGTGTGAAAATATGTCCATGGACCAAGAAATGATTGGCAACCCTGGCCTTAACGTCTCAGACATCAAAATTATATATATATCACACACACATATATACATATGAATAACTGCCTGGTTTAAGAAGCCTGAATTTCTAGGCCAGTTCAGATGCAATGAACAAGGCACTGTGTTTATTTGCTCACTTCTTGCATGCTCAGCTTTCCTTCCTCACCTTCCAATTTACTATCACGTAATGGTTTGTCTACAAATGAGAATTCTAGATCATTGTTTAAACTGGTTTTACAATTCTGCTTTGCCCAGTTAGGATGCTAACAGCAAACTAAGGTCTGAAACTAAACTGGACATGAGGGAGGAGAATGCGTGCAAGTGCAGAGCTCATTTACATAGCATAAAATCATGGTTAGGAGTTACATCTGGACCAACTAAGTGTGTGTGACACCATACAAGAGGATTTCCATTACCCCAGACAGATATAGGTGTGATCAAAGTGGATACAATCTTTCCCTCACTTTCTTATGGTGCTCTGACCTCTGATTAAATGTTTAGTGCATTTTAGCCAACAAATCATTTTCATGTATGAGGCCAAAATTTCAGCAAAAATAGTAATAATAATAAAAATAAAACAGCAGCAGCTTTCTCAAAGAACAAAATGGATAGTTTATGGATACAATTACATAAAACTACATTTTCATTCATAAAATAGCTATTTTAATATGCATTATTTAAGATAACTTACCAAGACTCAATGAGGCAGTCAAATCAATAGCACAGGTTATGTGTCTGAAAGGTTCAATATTCAGATACATCTCAAGCATGCTATAAAACAAAAACAAACAAACTGTAAATATTCTCTATTTACCACTGATTATGTCATTCATGCTAAAAGAAAATCACTAGAGTATTTGGCATTCCCAGCTATTACAATTCCCTCAAGCATTTCTAAATAATTCTACTGTAACAATGTGGCTGTGTCCAGGCATCACACTAAAAAGTGTTTCAGCGTTATGTGACTAAGCCTAGCCCTCTTTAAGTTGTACATTTCCCTCCTGCTGTCTTCCTCCTGCACCACTCAGAGGTATAGTTCAGAAGCTTTCACTTCTACTTGCAGTTAACCGTGACTTGTCATGTTGTCCAAACTGCAAATTGTGGTTAATATAAAATATTCTTGGTTTCAACAAGGCAGTTTATTTTTTATAAAAAAAACACCTTGAAAATTAACCATAGTTAGTTTTAATCACACCAGATGACACAAACTGCAGTTAAAGGAATGTGAAAGCAAAATGTTAACAACTGCTAATCCTGGCTGTGCAAAAAGGGGAAGGAAGCCTGTACAACATCCGAACAAGACCCAAATGTTTGTTTAATGTACTCCATTTGCAGATCAGATGATCTAACCACAGAATTCTGCTGCTTGAAAATAGGGTTCAAGATACTCAACAACCTCCCCCCTCATTCTATCACACGGCTGTATTGAATACAGTAAGCAAATGACTGAATATGCCACCCAAACCCAAGATATGTGTACTTAGAAACACGTCCTACTGAAGTGAGTGAGCATGCACAGGATTGCAGGCCTGCCTCTGCTCAGAACATCTGAGTGACTCACCAAAACACAATGTTATTTATTCTGAAAAAGATAGAGACATCCTCCAGAATTCTGCAGGATTCAAATGCACACAGAGTTCTCACACAAGTAGGAATACAGTAGGATGCAAGGACTGTTGAGCAGTCTCTACCTCCATAAGCTCAATGGGCTGGGACATCTGCACTGATGTAAATTAAAGTAAGCTTCAGAGCAGAGGTGGGGAAGCTACTGCCCTCCAAGTGTTGCTGGTCTACAATTTCAACCATCCCTGACCGTTTGGTCATGCTGGATGGAGTTGACATGGCTTAGAATCCAACAACATCTGGACAGTCACAAGTTCCCCCCATCTCTGCTTTAAAGAAAAAACTAGCAGTCTTACTGTATCATTTTACAGCCACTAAATAGATCAAAATCCCAGCCCCAGCCCCAAAAACCTAGGCACAATCTTCACCATTACAGGACCAGTTTACAACTTCACAAGTACAGTATGAAGTTTCAGAGTTAGAATTGAACATATTCACTTTTTAAGTTCTTGCAAATTCTCACACTAACTTTTTGTGAATAACTTCACAAATTAAACATAGAATTCCAACCCTTCTTCCCAAGAAAGGGTGTTACATTTCTTCAGTTTATGTAAACATCACATTTTCTACAAATTTATACTATATTTATGCTATAGTGAATACATATTTCACACACACACACACACACACACCCAAGTCAGTCCACCAACTCATTCTACACTGAAAGCTGAAAGGAGCCAGATGCAAGTATACTATTAGAAAAAGATTTAGACCCTTGACAAGTTGCAAAGTTGGACCATGAATATGTAGAATATATATTCCTACAAACTCCCAAATCCACACAAGTGATGGTTCTTCATGGTAGGGCTGTGAAGAATGAAATATTTCTTTTTCAACCTCAATATCAAGTTTTAAAGCACTAGCATATGCATGGATGGGTTGGGGAAGAGAATTACAAAGATTTTAAGCACTTTTATTAAACACCTTGGGATTTTCCTACCCCTGGCAAAAGGTCTTCCTGCACAGCTTGATTTCTACATGCCATTTTCACCCACCACTGAAATGTCAAACTCATGTTTTTACTCAGACCTAAACCAGGCACTGTGAGGACCAGTCATGTACTGTATACTATTACACCCTCTATTCTAACCATCACCATCCTGCATAAACAGGGAAATTTATTTCGCAGCATTTATATGCTACCTGATTGTAATAAAACCTCAAAAAGGAGATTTAGAGTATGGAACAGCAGGAAACAATTCTCTAGCACAGAACTGTCTATGAAAAAACACAGGAGAACGAATAGATGCAGAGGTAGATGGAGGCAACATGAACATCCTTAAGGATTTTACACCTAAAAGGTATCAATACCACAGACTGGAAACTCTTGGCATAAGCTTCAAAGTAGAATGTCTGCATCCATGTCCCTCACAACGAATATGACTAACATTTGAAATCCTAGGTTATAAAAGAAAGATTATGTGTTAATAGGACGCAGCCTTACTACAGTGATTTGTGCTCTGGTAACCTGTTAGAACTACAGTAATGTGGGGGGGGGGTGCTGTATGCGTGGTTACATCTGAAGACAATCCAAGCGGAGTTAGTGCAGAATGCAGCTGCCAGTTCAGCTGGATGGAATCACAAAACACCAATTGACTGCATGTTCACTTCTAGGCAATATTCAAGGTGATGGTCTATGAAGGAATGCCTTTCCCAGAACCACCCTGCCCTTGCCCCAATATCTTCAGAAGCAGCTCTTCTCTGCATACTACTGGTGCTGGTGGGTGTATATTACATTGTGATGCAAAAAAAGAAGAAGCAACAGATTTGTGGTGGCCCTGGTATTGGAATGCCTTTACTCTAGTTCTAGTAGTATGCTTGGCACTGGCACTATTAGCATTTTGGTGCCAAATACAGACTCACCTGTTTCCCTGAGCATTTGCAATGTACTGGTATATTTATTGTCTCAGGGTGAGGAGCCTGCTCCGTAGTGGTAGTCAGCTAAGTTTTACTCAGCGCAAACACACTGAAATTAATGAACACAACTAAGCACAACAGGTTTACTCTGGGTAAAATTTGGTTTAATATGTTTTTAAACTGCTATTGTTATTTACAGTTTATCATTTTATTTCAATATCAAGTTTGCTGTTTTTAGTTGACTTTTTGTTGTACATTGTATGTTGCACTCCACCCTGGATAGGGCTTTGTACACCAAAGCCAGCACCTTGAATCTAGCCTGATAACTAATTGGCAGCCAGTACAATTCTTCAGCACCAATGTAATATGATGTGACTATTCCATCCCAGTGAGCACTCAAGCCTCTGCATTTTGCACCAGCTGCAGTTTCCAGGGCAACCCCAAGGACAGTCCCACATAGAGCACATTGCAGTAATCCAATCTGGAAGTTACCAGCACCTGGACAACAGGCTATCCTGATCACGAAACGGCCTCAGCTGTCTTACTAAATCTGGTAAAAAGCACTACTAGATACAGAGGCCTAGAGAGATGGATCCAGGAGCACCAAGACTGCTATGGAAGTGAGTGACTTTGCCCTCAAAGTGCCTTGCAAACAAACAGCAACAGTCTTCAGAAAGATCTAAAATAGACCTCAGAAAATACAAAAAGGTTCAACTGGACAACTGGAAGATGCAACTGAATCAAAGAATTGGGCCTTCTTCATTGCCCTTATTGCCATGCAGAAAGACTCATGCAATAAATAAATAATTACAAGGATGGGGAACCTTTTCAAGCCTAAGGGCCACATTCCCTTCTGAACAACTTTCTGGGAGTCAATTGCCATTAGTGGACAGAGCCAAAGGCAAAAGTAAAGTGAATGCAAATTTTACGTATGTACAGTAGCTTAGTTTTTCTAAACATCCCTTCTCTATCCTCCATCCAGGCAAACAAGAAATATCATTCAAGGACACATTCCAGCCACACAAAAACATTCAAGGGTGGTTTGGAGCAAGGTCATATGAGCCGTGTTAGTAATGCAGGAATATAAACTAATCACTAAATGGCGCCTTAAACTTAGGTTATGAGCACCACAATGGAATGTCTAAGCATCTTTTTTGTGGTGAAATTTATTTGCTTGGAAATAAGCCCCGTTGTGTCCAGTGGGGCTTTCTTATCCTCAAGTAAGTGCACCTAGGATTGCAGCTCATGTGGCAGCACAGACGCCAAGTCTGCTGCCATGTGAACCAGCTAATTCACATCGCAGTGCAGAAGCACAAGCTACATATCCTTTGTTGTGGTGCTGCCACATGCAGCACCGCAGCACTAGCCAGCTAGATGGAGAGGTCAGTCATCAACCTGGCATCCAGAGATCTCCACAGTTGCAAAATACACCTGGCACATTGGGAATTTTGAACACCGGGTATGTGGTATGGCCGGGAAGGGGGTGTGGCCCAGGGACAGTCTTAACGGACAGATAGAGAGGATTATAGGGCCAAATTGTGCCCCACCCCGAGTTCCTCACTACTGAACTATTGCTCTGCAGATAAACCATTGTTCCATTAGAGTAAAAGGTAAAGGTACCCCTGCCCGTACGGGCCAGTCGTGTCCGACTCTAGGGTTGCGCGCTCATCTCGCTTAAGAGGCCGGGAGCCAGCGTTGTCCGAAGACACTTCCAGGTCACGTGGCCAGCGTGACAAAGCTGGCGAGCCAGCACCAGCGCAGCACATGGAAACGCCGTTTACCTTCCCGCTATAAAGCGGTACCTATTTCTACTTGCACTTAAGGGTGCTTTCGAACTGCTAGGTGGGCAGGAGCTGGAACCGAACGACGGGAGCTCACCCCGCCGCGGGGATTCAAACTGCCGACCTTACGATCAGCAAGTCCTAGGCACTGAGGTTTTACCCACAGCGCCACCCGCGTCCCGTAGAGTAGTGATGGCTAAACTTGGCCCTCCAGCTGTTTTGGGACTACAACTCCCATCATCCCTAGCTAACAGGACCAGTGGTCAGGGATGATGGGAACTGTAGTCCCAAAACCAAGTTTGGCCATTACTGCATTAGAGGAAATGAAATCCCATCGAGAAAAGACTATCTACTCAACTTCTGGATACAAGAATCACCTGCCAACAGGACCCATGTCACATCAAGATTCACTTTTAGCTTACTGGCCTCATGCCCTCATTCAACCCATTATTGCTTCCAGTCAGCAATGGAATTACACTGCTATCTTTCTCTTGTCTGGATACTTTATCA